GTATCTCTCTTAGAAAGCTGATCTATATTACAGGAAAACTTTTTCAAAAACCTGTTTGTACTTTGTCATTGTTGATTTACAACTGTCAACGTATAGGATAAACGAACACACAAAATTACATGTTTACATCACGACTCGGATCACAGTAATTCCTCGCAAGGCACTTTGTACTTCCACTTTCTGCACACATTTTTATTTACAATCATAGATTCCTTAACTAGCCGATTATCTCCCTCACGCTGATCGTCATAGAACCGCCGTCCGATTTCTCTTACATACTCTCTGAACATAGGTATTTGAGTATCTTTGTGCAATACTGCAATTATTTTCGCATATCTGTCTTTGTTACACACAAGTCTCAGACATTTATTTTGAAATTCCTGTAGTGGTTTAATATTGGTTATCGCAGTAGTGCACCATACTGGTGCCGCATACGTTAATATTGGTCTTAATATTATAGTATAGATTAGTGTTTTGTTCTTTCTACTTAACGATGAGTCTTTTCCACCATAAGTGAATACAATTGTCTCATCACAGCATACGCTTTGCACATTGTTGTTTTAATGTGATTCTTAAAGACTAGCCTACTATCTAACTGAACACCAAGGTACTTAACAGTAGTTTTTACCTATAGTATTACTCTTTTATACAACGTGATTGGTGTAAATACTTTGGTATTTGTAAACTTTCTCGAGAATACTATAGCCTCAGTCTTTTCAGCATTTAACTTGATCTTCCAGAACCTGTAATATTGCTCCAACATATCTACATGGATTTGAACTTGTTTTGCAGCCACAACAGCACTATGTGAGTGCGCATATATTGCTGTGTCATCTGCAAAAAGTGCTAATTTAGTTTTAGGAAATTCAGGAAGATCATTCAAATATACACTACACAAGATCGGTCCAAGGACCGATCCTTGAGATACGCCAGCTCTAATCACCTTGAGACTAGACTTAGTATTGTTAAGTACAAGTTTAAATTGTCTATCACTTAAATATGAGTAAATGAGTTTAACCAGAGGACTCGGGTAGTTTTGTTTTATCATTTTATATACCAATCCATTCATCCAGACCTTGTCAAATGCCTTTTCAATATCCAGTAGCAGCATTACTGTTACCTGATCTTTGTTATAACCCTGTCTAATGTCATTGACAATTCTTACCACCTGTTGTACTGTACTATGACCTGCCCTGAATCCAAACTGTGCCTCTTTTGTCAATTTATTGACGTCTGAATGCCTAATAAGACTTCCTAATATTACTCTTTCAGTTACTTTACTTAACGTAGGCAAAAGGCTAATAGGTCTGTAGCTTACGGGTTATGTTTTGATTTTGCCTGTTTTATGTATTACATGCGCAATTTTCCACGCTTGTGGAAAATAAGATAGTTTTATTATGGCATTAATTATGTGCGTGAGTTGTATTACCGCTTTTTTAGTCAAGTGTTTAAGTAACATATTTTGAATTCCATCCGGACCCGGCGCTTTGAACGGACTAAGACAATTTATAATTTTGGCAATTTTCTTTGGTGAGGTAAGTAGCCCCTTAATTTGATTTTCACAGGTGTTATTTAATTTTACAAATGACCTTACCTCATCTACAACAGCCTCCTGTGCTGTGGTGTTGCTCCTTTCAATTACATGTGCTTGTTCAAAGTGTTCTGCTAGAAGATTTGCCTTTTGCTTGTCAGTGATGGCTGTCGTGTTTTGACTATGCAAAACAGGGACTGGATCATACTGTTTTTTGAGTAGTTTTGTCATTTTCAAGAGTGTGTTATCTTTGACACTTAGTTTACTTAATTTGTTAGTCCACAACTTATTTCTAAAATTGAAAATTCTTTTTTTATACTTCGTGATAGCTTGTTTGCATGAATTTTATACCCAGCAAACAATTTCTGACCTTGGCAACAGAAACTGTGTGCAGAAACGCTACAGTACGGAAACATGCTTTGGTGCTGCCACAACTGTTAGCACATAGAGACAAAAAATGCAACAACTCTGTTGGCACATACATGAGACTATTGCGGCCAAAATGATTCCATATATGTTAGTGAAATTGATAACAAATAGATGGTCGATAGCAAGCAGATCTGCTTTAGCAATACTGTGACCAAACAGTCTGCAAAACCGTATGAGCATCTGTTTATGACAAAACGCAGTCGGGTCGATCTGTTGAACGCATTGACGACAGATTGCCACCAAACGCCAAACAGATCTGTTCGTGCATATGTGCGGACTGTTTGCACGCAAGACTACTCGACTATCTATTTGACATCTAGGCAACAAAGTGGCGATTATCTGCGATTGTATCTGTCGCCTGTGTTGATAACAGATTGTTAACAAACATTGAACAGTCTTTTAAAGTTAGACCTTGTTTATGCGGGCAATAACTGTTAACTTATGCTGGAACTGGTAAAGTTTAACTGTAAGATTTTAATACTTCTGTTTATACGCATTCGGCAATGAAGCAATCATAAATTTAATGTATTATTCTCGTATTTGTTAAGTAATATGAAACAATGGGTGCTTTCCAGCTACGTACAGTCGGCACTGTGTAACACAATGTCCACTAGTGTGAATGAGATACACTGATATGCTCTTTCTCAAGCTAATAGACAGTATGTTATACATTTAACTTTAATTTTCTCAGAAATTTGACGTGGTAGGTCGATTCGCCGCCGGATTCGTTTTCAGTGACCAAAAATCCATTAAAAAACACTTTGTTTATTCAAGTATCAGCATATATTAACAAAACATTTATTCGCGTGGTAAAAATGTACTTTAAATTATATTTAAGAATAATAAGAAAAGTATTTTTATTTATTGTTGCAGGTACATTGCATTGCAACATTTTTAGTAAAATAATAATTGAAAGAAATAATAAATGAAATGTAGGATAGCTTGAGAATAAATAGATAAAAATAATTATATGTTAGTAAAGAACACAAGTGGTCTCGCGGACTGAGTGCAGGGGCTGCGAATATGGAGGTCTCGAGTTCAAATCCCGCTATGACATTTTAGAATTTTTTCAGATTCGGTCTTTTTCAATGGAGTTCATCGGTTGATCAACGAGTTGAATCAGGCTTCTAGAAATTAATTCGAGTGAAATCTCGAATTAATTCCTGTCCGATAAGGCGATATACCACTGATTTTCTTTTTTTTTGTAATAATTCCACTTGGATTCTAAGGGACAGATCTGATCTGCGTTTGGTAGCAATCTGTCGACGTTTCTGACGACAAATTTGGTTTGTACTTGTTACTGTTTTGTTAACAGTGCTGGTAGCAGATATGATGTGTATTTGGCGCGATTTTGGCGCCAACAAACAATCACCAAATCTGTTCTGGATTTGGTGCGTCACTTTGGCTTTGCTTTGCTAGTGGCAGACTTGTTATGATTTTGGTCTCATTTTGACATCTCACATGTTTAACAGATATGGTCGCCAAACCATATCCTAATGAGGACACAGATGGATATGGATTTGGTCTACTAATTTCGCCGGCGGTTGGCGACAAAACTGCGACATCTCGCAACCAAATTGTTTGCTGGGTAGTCTTTTATTCCCGTGTTTTGCCACTTTTTCCTAGTCTTGTTTCTTTGTTTTATTAAAGCTTGTATGTCTTCAGGCAGATCCATTCACTGATCAGTAACTATTTTTTGACGTACAGCAGCTTGTTGAGCTTTTATGCAAGCACTTAACTTACTAAGCCACTCGAACCTGCTTGCAAATAGACTTAACAGAACGACTTTTCCGGTGCACCTAAGAAAGCCATGTTTTTTTTAAATTAAAAACTTAAAAACTAAGGCCCATTGGAACAAACATTGGCCGAACACGGAACAACTCTTTTGACCTATAGAACCACCAAAAAAATTGGCATCGAATTTTACGATAACCACTTCTAGTGCTCTTCTTGTTAGTGCAATCATTGCAAAATCGTCGTTATTTATGATGACATTTTTGTGCAATATTTTCACAATGTGCTTATTAGGGTTCTTGTGCATACAGAAAATTAAACAAAAAAGTCACTATATATAAACTGCAACAAGTCAACATATATGAATCACAACAAGTTCACAATTACGAAGACAACATTGAAATGCCAGAAATTCTACTAATTCTCATCTGAAAGAAGGAAGTTCTCAGCACTGAAATGTCATTGAGATTTGCTCTCGTTTTTGCCTTGTTTTCATCGCTCTGTTTTTTAGTATCAGATTTTGTCACATAACTATGATTTTCATCTTCATCGCTTTTCTAAGCCTAACTCGAAACTATCTTCTGTCTCATTTTTTTCTTGATCTAACATTCCTAAAAACAAGTTTAAAACAAAAGAAGGACAGGTTGCGAGACACAGTAGAGACAAAAAACGCTAAATATGTATGTAAGACATTTGTTAAAGACAGGACACAAAAGAGATAATGCTAAAGACAAGAATAAGACTAAAAAAGACAAGATTGAGACAAATTAAAAACACGAATGTACTCAGAGATACAGCAGATACAATATAAGAACAAGGGACAGGAATAAGACACAAAAAAGCCAGATTTAGAATACGGAAGACACGTTTTAGACATTAGAAAAACACAACTCTGTGTCTTACCTTTATCCATCGGCTCATGAGGGAGATTGGGATACCACTATGATTTTAAGTCTATGATCTTGAAACTATCAAAATCTGCAAAACAATTTTGAGGTTTCAAAAACAAAAAACTTCATAACATAAGAATATGTGATCAGCAGAATATCTAAGTATAGCAAGATATGTTACTGACTATATGTTATTCACTGCATTTTTAATACAATAAAATTAAATAATGAAATTTTCTTAATATAATGAAAATTTCTATATTTTACAATATTTAGCATTAGTTAGCATTTACTTTTTTTCTCTTTTAAAGTATTTATCAATACAGTATTTATTAATAGTGATTTATAATGTGTACTTATAATTGTGTATTTATAATGACAGTGTAATATTTGTAATATTTATAATATTTATTTAGGAAGGTAAAAACAATGAAAAATTCGATTCTCATCCAAAACATCCTGAAGATTTGCCATCGTACATTTTAGTTCATAATGGTTGGTATGATGGATTGTATTTAGTGACTTCACTTTTTCTGCTCTCTCTGGCATTTGTAGAAGAACCTGCTTTGCCGTTATTTAAAGTATGTTGCAAGTTAATAAACAATGATATGATTTTCTCGATCAAGATCATTGTTTTATATACTTTGCTTCAGGTACCAGTATGGGCACATGGTACAGCAGAATTAATTGCCTTAATCATTATAAGTGTGGAATTGGCTTTAAAGTTGCGATGGACAGGCTGGGACCCTATGCTAAAACACAAACGTACAATGTTGAAAGTAAGGAAACTTCTTTATAACTTGAAATCTATATATCTGAACAGAAATACATCTATACAAAACGTGTCTTAATATGTTAATAAACATGTTATTTACATAATCCGAACAGTTGCTCGTTCATATGGGCGATAATTATTCTCTTATTATAAGTGATGATATAAGAATATCAGACAATCTTTACATATATTCATTAGCGATAAACAACCATATCCAAAGAGAGATGATAATACAAACTGCAATAAATATATATTAACTTATTAGCTTACTTATATAATAAGTTATCAAGTTTTATAATGTCAGATATGTCACTCATAAAATAAACTGAAGATGACACACGATTTTTATTTAAAAAATCGATAAATATCTTGTAATCTTTTTACATGTATCGATATCTGTTTGTTTTCAGTGTATTACTTTACTTATTATGTTTTTGGAAGCTATGACAGTTCTGGTACGACAATCATCACATTTTCGCGTGACACGCGCCTTTAGACCTATGTTTCTAATAGATACTAAATATCTCGGAGGTGTAAGAAGATTTATAAGGCAGATATTTCTCACATTACCGCCTATTTTAGACATGCTAGGACTTTTGTTTTACTTGATCACTACATATACAATATTAGGCTATTATATGTTCAGTGAAATGAACAGAAATTTTTCCACGTTGCAAGATAGCTTCGTCAGTCTGTTTGTTCTTCTCACTACTGCTAAGTGAGTATAGTCTTGCTCTCTTGATATAATTAATTCTTTTAATGTATTAATTTACAACATATTAATGTAATGTATTAATTTACTATATATCTATTAATTTATGGTACTATATATCAACTCATAGTTTTCCGGATGTAATGATGCCGTCGTACTCGCAAAATAAGTGGTATGCGATATATTTTGTATCTTATTTATGTACCATGCTATATGTGATGATGAATCTGATGTTAGCAGTGGTTAATGAGACGTTCACGTCCCGTGAACGCGACAAATTTAAAAAATTGTTTTTGCACAAGAGAAAAGCATGTCAACACGCTTTTAAACTTCTAGTTTCCAAACAAGAGCCAGACAAGATACGATTTCGTCAATTTCAAGGTTTGATGCGATATCATGCTCCGAACAAATGTAAGTATATATAATTATTAGTTTTTTACGAAATTTAAAAGCTGATATCAAATTTATTTGACCAAACCAAATATATTCAAATTTCATATCGTACAGTATTATAAGTTAATAAAGTAAAATAAACTTATTAAAATCAAGTAATATAAGTTTGTGATATTTAGTCAAACTAATTTTATAACAGCAATGATAATGTTATATGTATTTTATTATAGCTATACGAGATATTGTTCTAATGTTTTGTCATATGAATACATCAAAAAATGGCGCTTTGACTCGTGAAGAATTCTTGTCGATTTACGATGCTACGAAGCTTCAATGGAATTTACAATACACTAACTTACCATGGTATCACACCACGTGGTGGCCCTTGCAAATACTATGCACTGCCATTCATTCTGTTATTAAATGGTCATTCTTTGAAACATTGGTGTGTAAGTAAATGGTTATTTAAAATTTTGAGATATTTTGTGCATAATGTTATTGCATTAAGTTATTAAACATTAAATTTGTTCCTACATACAATGCAGATGTGATTATTGCTGGTAATTCTATTGCCATGATAATAAGAATTATAGAACCGAGTAATAATCTTGAAGAATCAGTATATAAATTTGCCGCATCTTGGGATACTATTTTGTTTGGAGGATGTAAGTAAACTTGATTTAATACGACTAATAAAATATGTATAATAGTGTCCGCATAGTTGATACTTAGGCTGCGTTCGGAGAACACTCTTTTAGCGCTATTGCGTCATTCTATCTTTGTTTTACATTTAATGAGCAATAAAAATAGAATGATGCAACAGCATCATGATAGCGCGCTTCTCAAACGCAGCCTTAGTCGGGGGATAATAGTGTAAAACAGCTGATTTGTTTGTTTGGTTTGAGGTTTTAGTACCTTAGAGATATTCAATATCCATATACCATTTTTCGTTTTTTGAAATGATGTAAAAACAATTTAGGTAATTTATAGATCAGTATTCAAGTCTTCAACTGATGATTAATTATTGAAAATATAAAAACTTGCCACTAGACTGTCATCTAAATCACTTATCCATGTCAGGCACGTGCTCAACGTCATTTGACTATTATGATCAAACAGAAATTAATATGTTTAACGTGATAGACCATTTGACACTGGCTTGTTAGTCTTTACGTAGTCAGAGAGAATCTCATATTGTCTTTTTATTTCTTATTGTCTTTTCTTACAGCACAAAAAACTCTAGACAGTACAAAAGTCCAAAAGACATCTTAGTGTTTCGCTATTTTTTGGAAATCTTTTCGATGTCTTCTGGATTTTTTGCTGTCTGGAACGAATTTTGCTATTGGTTAGTATGCCACTGTATGCACTTTCATATAGAAACTATTACGTAGTTATATTTATTTAGTTATGTCCACTTTCTGATACAAGATTATTTGGAATCCGTGCCACATCCACTTTTGATTTTGACTCTCAATAAGTCGCTAGTTAATACGAATTTATGTTACATCTATAATTTGTGAAAAATAATTTTTTTATATACGTATCCCACATAGGACGTAATATTACTGCAATATCACAGTAATATTGTTTTTCCATTGCAATGTTATACTCTAATATAGTAGAAATATTACCGTAATATTACTGTAATATTACAGTATATAATATTAAAATATCCATCGAAATGCATCACAGTAATATTACGGTGATATATCACAATAATGTTGTGGCGAATATTAAGAATATTACTGTATCTGCATATAGGGCTGCCAGAATATCTCTTAAAGAGAACATGTCCTCTTTTTTTGTCTCGATCTTTTTGTTCACTCTCTTTTTTTATTCTGATCTTTTTTTGTTCTCTTTTTTCTTAGTTATTTTTTATTTAATCTTTTTTGTATATTTTCATAATTATTGATTGAACAAAACATACGCGCAAAACATATTATTTATCATAACGCATGCGCATGTGATCGCAACGCATGCCCATTTTGCGTTCTAGTATGACAAGTTTCCTAACCATAAAAAGTATCAATTTTAACGATAAATATATCACTTCACGAGGCAGAGCGACACTTTTTTCTGCAAGATTCTTTTGTTTCATGCAAAAACATATTGAATAAGTGTAATTTAATCAAAATTTAAGGTGAGAAATGTTAAACTAAATAATTACTTTTATTTTTTGTAATTTTTTTAAATTAGAGATTTTAAAAATAATTTTTAACTTATTAAAGGATATTTTATTTTTTTTACAGCCATGAGTAAAAGAAAAAAAAACCAAATTTAAAATGGATCACATATTTCAAACAATCAAATAATGTAGAATTTTATTCTGAACTATTAAAAATTTGTCAGTATTATTTTTCAATACCGACATAATGGCAATGTAAAGAGATTATTTTCGATGATTGGAGCACGATGGACAAAAGAGAGAAACTGTCTCAATATAGAAAGCATAAAATCAATAATGTCAGTAACATATAATTATAAAAATATAACGTGTAAGGAATTTTATAATGAGATACAAAGTAATACCAAATTACTATCAGAAATTGGTAGCTCAAAAAAATATGAGATTTATGACTGAAGAAAGAATACTGTAATTGTTTTAAATTATAAAATTATTAGCAATTAGTATTATTAGCAATAAGAATTTATTGTTTTGTTTTTTATTTATAAATGTTTTATTTGAGAAATAATTTAAATGTTAACGTTCTTTTTCCAAAAATTATATTTTTATATAAATAATAAATATAAATTTGTTGATAGATATGAATAAATATTATATTCGCATATTTTGATATATTGTTCTCTTTTTGTCCTCTTTTTTGGAGGGAAAAGTTCTCTTTATATACTCTTAACTTCTCTGGCAACCCTATCTGCATATAAAAATTTGTTTAGGATCTATTTAGAAATTAGTTAGATTTTCCAAAAATATCTTGAGTTCTCAGTGGAAATTCTATATTATTTATATTAATTTCAACTAAAAGTGTACCGTTTTGCAATTTAAAATCTAATAAGAAGTTCTATCTAAAATCAAAGTGGGATTCGTTACTAAAAGGAAAACCAAGACCATATCGCCTTATGGGAGAGAAATTAATTCGAGATTTACTCGAATTAATCTTTAGAAATTGATTCATTTTGCCGATCAACTGATTAACTCGATGAAAGGTACCAAATCCGGAAAACATCGGTGATGGTGGGATTAGAACTCGACTTCTATATTCGCAGCCCTTGCACTCAATCCGCGAAACCACTTGGTTCTTACCAACATTTCATTATTTTTATATACTTATTCTCAAGCTATCTTACACTTTTTATTTATTATTTAAATTATTATTTTATTAGAAATATTGGAGTGCAATGTACCTGCAACAATGGATAAAAATATTTCTCTTATTAAATATACCTTAAAGTACATTTTTATTACAACGCAAACAAATTTTTTGTTTATTATTATAAAATAAACAAAATAATATTCCAATATTCCACTAGATCTTGCAATCAAAGGTTTAGAAAAACGATGGCATTTGATAAACAACAACACCAGCTTACCTAAGGAAGAATTTTTTATAGCTCTCAATTTTGTTTTTAATTCTTCATTTTTTCAATTCAATAACAAATTTTACAAACAGACCTTTGGTGCATCTATGGGCTTTCCTCTCTCTTCCATTCTAGTAGATATTGTTATGCAAGACCTAGAATCGTCTACTATCAACACGCTACCTTTTACTCTACCTTTACATATCAGATACGTTGATGATATAGCTCTCATGGTTCCCAGAGATCAACTCTTGACGTAGTTCTTAAATATTACAATTCATACCACTCTCGACTTCAATTTACCATGGAAGTTGGTCTTGACAAGCTGAACTTTTTAGACATCACTATTATAAAGAAAGATAATAAATTAATTCATGATTGGTATCACAAGTCTACATTTTCAGGTAGATATCTTAATTATTTTTCAAATCACCTTATCAGCCAAAAAAGAGGAACGGTCATAAGTCTCGTTAACAGAGACCTATGAAATATATGATTTCCTTTTATCACACCCGACTTTTTACTCAAAAAATCTTGACATGGTTTTTAACATTTTAATTGACAATAACTATCCATTAACAACTATCCATTTGACTTTATTTACAACACTTTTAAACAACGACTAAAACGCACTTTTTTTATAAATAACAACTCTAAGAAGTTCCTGTCGAATGAGTTGGAGAACAGTGCACAGTCTCGCTGGTTTGTGATACCTTATATCAATAATTTTTCAGAGAAATTTTTACCAGCATTTCCTAAAGACTCTAACACACGTTCAGCTTTTTATTGTACTGACAAATTGTCAAACTTCATCAACGTTCTTAAAGATCCTTTACCCCATTCCTCACGTCCTTCTGTTGTATATCAAATAAATTGCCGTGATATATTGACGCTTCTTATGTCGGTCAGACGGGCAGAATGCTACAAATTAGAATAAAAGAACATAAGTATCATATCAACAGAAATTCATCTCAGAGATCTGTGATCACGGACCACAGAATCCAATTCTCTTACGATTTCGATTGGGATAATGTAAAAATTTTGGATATTGAGAGATCTTACAACAAGCGTTTGATTTCGGAGACTCTGTATATAAGGAAGCAAAACATGGTCTGATTTTAGATAGCGACACCGAAAATCTGGACAGATCTTATTTACCATTTGTAGATAATACATGTGATTGAATGACGTCATATGATCGACGATCGTAGCGTTGATTTTCGTTTTGAATTTCAGCTCTATTCAGTCACTTCTTTATATTGTAAAGTGATGGTCGAACCTCTAGTCCTACCACTGACTACTAATCACCATCTAACGACGACCGTCACTATTTCTTCTTCTTCTTTTTTGCGAGTCTTTTGTAAGTTTTTGTTAAGTCTTACTATTACAATTTTTCTTTTATTGCGTATTATTATTTTTAACGCTTTTTGTAGTATTACACTGAGAAAGATCTAACCCAAAGGTCAAAAGCTTTGTACAGTTTATCGCAATAAACTAAATTTTGAACACACACATCGACATCCGTGTCTGCTGCATACAGCCAAACATTATATATGTGTTTACTATATAATAATAATTACATATTGGGACCTTGAATAAATTCTCGCTATTTTTTTTGTGAAAATTAATGCTTTATCTGATATTTGATGCTTTCGCGGTGCGTAGTATTAACATACAAAGATTTTTTCGGATTTGAAGCGCGTTAGTGTCATTTTTATACCGACGTTTCGTGAACATTACAGCTCACTTCATCAGGGTTTAAAGAGCAGCCTGATACTGAGATGCTCTTGGTTAGGTGTCCCTTTTTATAGCGCTAGATTGGAGTGGGAGGGGTGTGGTGGAGGAGGGGTGGAATGGTAAGAAGAAGGGGAGGATGTGTTATGGCAAGATGGAATGCCATAGTGAATTAGTCATATGTCCATTGTCTCTATTGAGATTGTTTGGATGTTTGTATATCTCCAGAGATTCCATATACTTTCTAGGGACGTAAACCCTAGTTTTGTTTAGTACTTAGGTTCCCTGATAGCCACCTGTCTGTGTTTTTGCTGTCATGTTGCCGAAAACAAAACGCTTGAGTTTTCAGCAAATTTAGAACAAGGTGAGTCAGGCATTTGTCTTTGGTTTGACA